CAGCAGCTGCCTTTTGCAGCTAAGTCAATCCAGTTGTAAACTGAATGTTGCTCAGAATATTTTGATATTATGTTTATACAAAAAAGGGAGGTCATAACATAAGTTAGCAGTGGACAATCTGATTTTTCAGAGCTTATCCCGATCCACCCGGAACCTGTCAGACGATGGACATTGCATAGCTTGTGTCAACACATAGTTCTTTTCCTTTTATGTATTTTTTCTGTATTTCTCATCATATAGTATGTATTAATTTAATAAAGTCATTCATTCAACAAATACTCCTTCAGCTCCAACTATCAATATATATCAAGTCTATTGTAAGTACCCAGTTTACAACAGTTAAAAAAAAAGACAAATCGTTACCCTAGTGGAGTTTATATTCTAGTGGGAAATTCAGACAAGGGAGAAAAATATATGTGTATATTTACTTATATATGATCATTTATATCAATATAATATAGACTAAAAGGAGTCAGGAAAAGGTAGAAAAATAAAGGAGAAGAAAGATAGTAAGGAGAAGATAAGGTGTACAATACAAAAATAAATATTGAAGAAAGATGAAAAATTGAAAGAAGAAATATTCCATTGATAAATGGAGAAGAAATGTGTTAATAAAAAGTACATAAAATATATAAATTAGGCCCTCCCTGGTGGGGCCTAAGCACCTCTGTATGCCCAAATAAATATTTAAAAAAAAAAAAAGCTACATGAGTATTTCTGATTATTTCATTTGAATACATTTCTATCAGTGGAAAATTTGGTTTAAATATTATGAACATATTTAAACATATTTAATAGTGTTTTCTTTATTTTAGAAAACTTAGTCTACCTTTTAAGTAGTATTTTGATTAGTATTGGTATAATTAGTTTCAGAGGCAAAGGCTGTATATTTTGAACTTTACTATTTTGTTAGTCACTGTTAACTGAAATTGAAATTTGTGTAAACTGTGCTCACTTGAACAAGTTTGATATGCCTATTGGGATATCATTGACTCATTCTTTTGCTTTTTTACTCCTTCTTCAGGTATAGTTCTAGTAGCTATAAATCCCTATGAACAACTGCCCATTTATGGAGAAGATATTATTAATGCATACAGTGGTCAGAACATGGGTGATATGGACCCACATATCTTTGCAGTAGCAGAAGAAGCTTACAAACAAATGGCCAGGTTGGTAGAATCTTTGTTTATTATTTCATGACTTTCATTTGATGTGATCATTTCTTTTTTTGCGGAAGCCATAGATATCTTAAAATGGCACACTAACTCAAAAGGTCACCTGCATCCCTATATTTACTGTAGTATTATTTGTAATAGCCCAAATATGGAAACAATATAAGTGCCAAAAACAGATGAGTGGGATCAAGAAATGTGGTATATACAATGGAATACTACTCTGATAAAAAAGATGAATTCATGGCATTTGTTGCAACATCATGCTACCAGAGATTATGCTAAGCGAAATAAGTCAGAAGGAGAATGATAAGTACTGGATGGTGTCATTTATATATGAAATATAGAGAAAGCTAATGAAGGATCAAACAAAGACAAACTATAAAATTAAACCTTTAAAACTGACCATAGATATCAGGCATCCAAGAAGGGAGGGAGGAAGGCGGAGTGGATTTAGGGAGGGGATGAGAAGAGCACAAAGGACTCTCGCAGAGAAATGTGGGAGAGGGTGACAGAGAGCACACCTAAGGGGAGAAATCCTATATTTTCAAAATATTAACAAAGATCTATAACAGTGGCACTTCATTAATATAAATAAAATAATAAAGTAAAAGTGACATATGTTAAAAATTACAATAATAAATGTTTTAATTAATAGCAATAAAAAATACAGTGACTAGTAATCTATACATTATTATTAAATAAGTAACCTTGACTACTTTGTCACAGATGACCTTCATCATTATTAAAATAACACCATTTTTGTATAAAGTCGTTTTTATTTATTTTTCATTTATTTATTTATATTTTACATTGTTGTGCATTTTGAAACAATGTTTGCTTTCTTTCCTCAAGTGTAGTCCCCATAGACTTTCCACCACCAGTTCACCTGTGCACCATCACCATCACCCCTGTGCTCTCTCCTCCTTTGTTTCAATCTTCTCCCTCCCATTCCTCTGCAAAAGGTTTCTGGTTTATAGTTGTGTGTTATTTCTGTCTTGCCTTATTGTGTTTTTCTTCTTATTAAATTTTTCCCCTGATGCCTTATTTGGTTTACCTATACTCTTCCTTCTGGCTTATTTCACTATGCATAATTCCTTCCAGCTCTATCCATGTTGCTGCAGGTGTCATGTTATCTTTTTGCTTGCTGCATAGTATTCCATCACATATTTACCACATTTTCTTGGCCCAGTCATCCAGTTTTGGGCATTTGGGTTTTTTCCAGTATTACCTGTTATAAGTAATGCTACAATAAATATAGGGGTACAGGCATTCTTTTGAATCAGTGTTTTTGAAGACATACAGTTTTGAAAAACTACCATTGGAATCTCATAATCCTATTACTAGACAAGGATAGATGTTATGTTTTACAGAGGAGTGGATCAAGGTTTGTTGGTATTAAGTGACTTGTCTAATGTCATTCATTTAATGAGTGATATCTTAAATGTAAAATGACTATAAATGTAGCTTTGTACTTCATAACATGCCACATTATACCAGGTTCTGCTATAGAATAACAATGAGTATAAAAAGTTAGAAGTTTTCTTTTTAAATTGCAGTAATCCTAGTTTACAACACTGTTTAGGTTTTCCAGGATATAGTTTCTTACTTCAGCAACTGAGGTAAGACCATGACCACCACCAAATATCCAGTCGCCTTAGCCACCAATCCATTGCTCACTCTGCCTGTTTGCTCTTTCTTTCCACCATTCCCTCTGTTAACTACCATTCTGTTGTCAGCCTAAGGGTTTTGTTTGTTTGTTTGTTTCATTATATTCCATAAATGAGTGAAATCATCTGGTATTTGTCTTTCTCCTTCTGATTTAGTTCTTCTTGGCTTAGCAGAATCCTTTCAAGGTCCATCCATGTATAACAAGTGGCAAGGTTTCTTATTCCATTTTTGTATATTTACCACTCTTTATTAAGTCAGTCACTTAGACAGTCTCCATTTTTTGGCTTTTGTAAATAGTGTGCTACAAAAAACATAGGGTCCATATATCTTTTAGAAGTAAAATTTTCATATTTTCAAGTAAATACCCAGAATGGATTATATGATAGTTTTATTTTTAATATCTTGAGAAATTTCCATACTGTTTTCCATAGTGATCACACCAAATTACATTCCCATCAACAGTGTAAGGGTGTCTTTCCCTTTATATCTTCACCAACACTTACTATTTCTTGACTTTTATAATAGCCATTCTAACCACTGTGGGGTAAAATCTCATTGTGGCTTTGATAGACATTTCTCTAATAAGTGATTTTGAACATCTTTTCATGTGTCCATTGGTCATCTTTCTGCCTTCTTTGAAGAAATGCCTATTTAGATCCTCTGCCCACTTTTTGAAATTAGATTATATGGTTTTTAGTTGTTGATTTGTTTATACATTTTGGCTACTAACCCCTCATCTGATATATGATTTACAAATATATAAACCTTTGTTTGGTAAGCTACCTTTTTGTTTTAATGATGGCTTTTTTCATTGTTCAGAAACTTTAGTTTGATTTGTTCCATTTGTTTATGTTCTCTCTTATTTATCTTGCTGTTGGAGGTGAATCCACAAAAATATTGCTATGGCTGTTATTAAAGAGCTTATCACCTATGTATTTCATGTTTTCAGTTCTGAAATTTAAGACTTTAATCCACTTGAATTAATTTTTGTTTATAGTATAAGACAGTGATCTAATTTCATTCTTTTATATGTGACTGTCCAGTTTTCCTAGTACCATTTATTGTATACTCTTAGATGCTTTATCATAATTAGTTGTCCATTAATATATGGGTTTATGTTTGGGCTCTCAATTTATTCCTTTGTTCTGTGTGCTTGTTTCTTGTTGAAGGAATAGAATATAGTATATAATAGTCTGTAGAACTTATGAACAGATATATGTGGCTAATTCTTTTATTGCCTCTTCATATTAATCTACTGAATTAAAAAAAATTATAATAGTTTTTACATCATTTTGTGCCTTTTTCCATCTCAGCTGTAATCCCCGTGGGCTTCCCATCAACAACTCATCCATGTACCATCACCATAGTCCTGTGCACTCCCACCCTCCCCCATTTTTGATCCTATTCCCCATTTTTACTATTTTTCCCCCTGGTCCTTTCTGCTACTGCCATGAGTGAAAACATCCAGTATTTTTCTTTTTCTTTTTGGCTTATGTCATTAAGCATGATTCCTTCCAGCTCCATCCATGTTACTGCAAAAGGCATGAGTTCATCTTTTTTTGATTGCTGAGTAATATTCCATTGTGTATATGTGCCACATCTTTTTAATCCAGTCATCTGCTTTTGGGCATTTGGGTTGATTCCATGTCTTTCCTTTTGTAAATAAAGCAGCAATAAACATGGGGGTTCAGAATCAATGTTTTTGTGTCTTTTGGGTAGATACCTAGGAATGGATTGCTCGGTCACATGGAAGTTCCATTTTTAGCAGTTTGAGAAATCTCCAAACATCTTTCCATAGCGGTTATACCAGTTTGCAGTGCAGGAGAGTTCCTTTTTCTCTACATCCTCACCAACATTTGTTGTTGCCAGTTGTTTTAAATATGCCATTCTCACTGGTATGAGGTAGTATCTCATTGTGGTTTTAATATGCATCTCTCTTATTACAAGTGATGTTGAGCATTTTTTCATATGCTTGTTGGCTGTCTGCATTTCCTCTTTGGAGAAGTATCTTTTTAGCCCTACTGCCCATTTTTTGATGAGGTTGTTTATTTTTGTTGAATTTCATCAGTTCTTTATATATCTTTGTGATCAGTCCTTTATCACT